AGTTTAAGTAAAAAGCACTGGATCATTTTTAAGTGGTGAATTTTAAAAAAAAAACATAGAAATTGATAGCGCTTCTATTGCAGTATACAAAGTCATAATATGAGTCATTTGGGATTTTGGAATTGATTCTTGTGGGAAAAAGGTTCCAAAATGGTAAAATGTCAACCACATCTTTCAACAATAATGAAATAGAGAGACTGGTGAGGATCAAATTCAGTATCATCCACTAACTTTGGAGACAAGGATGAGCATAAAATCTATTTTACAATGAGAATTTGCCAAAATGAAAACTTTGCGACTAATGTGCACATAATAAAGTTAAAATTTGTTGTAATGAGTAGGTTTCTGACAAAATGATTGATGGGGATATTAACAATTTAATATAAGACTGAAGGGTAAAGCTGATCAGCCTTAAGAAAACTCCAAGGCATGAAGAAAGACAAAAAATGAGGTCCTCAAGTAGGTAAATTAATTCAAATTCTTATTCGTAATATCCAATTTAATGTTTCTCTTGACTTCTATCAACAAATATTGTATATAACCATATCAAGAAATACCCAACCAGTCATCAAAACTCAAAGCAAAAACTTCTATCTACTTAGCTTCAAAATCATCATCAAAAAAATAACAAGATGATGCTTATTCTGAGCTTCTACTTCAAGCTTCTTGGCCAATTTAATCTTATTTTTATTCAAATCTTAATCATTTTGGTCTAAACATGTGTTTTTATGAGATAAATACCATGATTGTTCTTCTTCAATCAATAATAGTACAGCAGAAAACTCATTGTTGGGTTATGATCAGATACAAAACCCTTCAATGGTTGTGTGATGAGAATGAAGAAATAGAGGAGATTCAATTCATCAAATGTTCAGAGAATCAAGGAGGCAAGTATCTTGAAGAAGAACTTTTATGGAAACTTCAAGCAGATGATGACTTAGGGTTTAAATAGACAAAGAGGCAGCTCATTAACTATGCAAGAGATGTTAGTGTAAAGTTGAAGGTAGAATGGTAAATTCCAACTTCTTTAAGAAGTTTACTTCCTTCAAATTCAAACTTTTATAAACCCCACATTTTTAACTTTTTATGTTGACATTTGAAACTAGAAGAAATGGAATTGGCACAAAGAGTCCAAGGAAATATATTTTTTTTCCTATCTAATTATATATACCAATTATCATGAGACATTAGAGGAGCTCCAAACAAGAAACAAGAGACGATTCATAATGAAGATATTATAGTTTAATCGAGAAAACTAAGAACAAGACAAAAGGCCTAAAGATATCATATCAACAAGCATATCCACAAAATTTATAAAAAGAAAGAAAAGCACATAAAACAGTAACTAATTCCAAATTCAAAGAATATAAAACACATTAAACGTTACAATAATATATCATGTCACATCCATAATAAACTAGTAAAACAAGAAAGAGTTTGTAAGAAATCAAACACTGTTCACAATGTCAATATCATTTGAAAATTCACTGAATCAGGCAAAGATACACAAATTATTACTCAATTACCAAAATATCATTCAACCAACGAGTTAATACTCAATTACATGTTCCTTTTTTATTGGATGATAACAATTCCATCATGACTTCTATATATGTTTATCCAGATGAGAGCCTAGAAAAATAATTACATTTAGATACATAAATCCAGAACTGAATGTAATATTTTTTAAAAGATTAAAAAATTAGAAGAATAATAAGGACGACATATACAACAACCATATATAAAAGAGATACGGACAACCAAAAATAGGCCTAATAAAACACGCCAATCACCTTCATATTCATAAAATAACAAATAAAGATATACCAAGAAAGAGTTTGATGAAACCAAACTGTTCACATGGTAAACAAGTGTCATCTTCTAATAGGTCAGACAATTATTCAAACAAAAAAAAGACCATATAAATATTCTGTGGGTTCCACAGACAAAATGAAGCCAAAACATCGTTCAACTTTCAATTTAATACCCAAAAAAATCTATTCTTGATTGAGAATAAAACAATATAATATAATAGAGGAAGACCAGAAATGATAATTTGCTTCAAATTCCTATTTCTATAAAGGAGCACAATCATCATAACTCAAGGAAACACATCTCTCTCTCTTTTTCCTCATAGCTTTAGATCATTATAGAAACAAAAACATGATGCAATCAGAACTTCTGATTCAACCCTCTTGGCCAACTCAATCCTATTTTCACTCAGTTCTAGATCAAGATGTTCTAAACCATGAACACTCTTCACTGATTTCATCTTTGTCCATGAATGAATTTTTGGATTATGATCATATGGAGGGTTTGGATGATGTGTGTAGTTGGTTGTGTGATGATGATGATCAAAAGATGGAATCAGAGATTCCAACCGATAAATCCACGGAAAACAGCAACATATGGAGCCCAACCATCTCCATGACCTCTAGTGAGTCACGTGATTCAGAAGCCATGGAAATGGAATCCGAAACAGGAATCCAAAATTTACTCACAGCATACGCAGAAGCCATGGGATTACAACAGAGAAAGCTGGCTGAAGTGATTCAGAAATGTATAAGTGAAAAAGTCAACCCCAATGGTCAAACCCTTGAACGTTTAGCACTTAACTTGTTCCCATGTTCTGAGAATGAAAAAGAGTATCTAAAACAAGAATCTATTAGAAACTTCAACACAGCATTCAGAGGATTCTATGAGATCTTTCCTTATGGAAGGTTTGCTCATTTCACAGCAAATTCAGCAATCCTTGAAGCTGTTCCAAACCATGTTGACTCGGTTCAGATAGTTGACTTTGACATGGGTGAAGGAAGTCAATGGCCTGTGGTTATACAAGTCATGGCACAAAGAAGAAAATCATTGACTATTACAAGTGTGAAGCTAGAAGATGATAACTCAGGATTATTTGAAGAGACCAAGATGCATCTGTTAAACTATGCAGGAAGTTTTGGTCTAAATTTGAAAGTAGAAGAAAAGGAATTGGGTCAAATAGTCAACGGGAATGAATTTATGGCTTTCAATTGTATGGTTGGGCTTCCACATATGGGAAGGACAAGGAGAAGAACTCAAGTTATTGATTTTCTGAAGGTAGCAAAACAGTTATTGGTGAAAACCCAAGGAATTATAACCTTTGGGGATGGAGAATACAGTGAAAGAATGGAAAATTCCCCAACCTACCCTTCGTTCTTTGATGGGAATTTGTCACACTATAAAGCACTGTATGAATCAATGGAATGGGGTTTTCCTAGTTATTTAAATGAAGGAAGGATAGCAATGGAAACACTTTTCATTGCACCTTTTATATCATCGATATCTTGGTTACAAAAATGGGAGGAAGGAAGAGAAAATGTGTTTTCCCAAAATGACCTTGGGTTAAAAGGAAGAAAGATGAGTAGAGAAAGTTGGAGTGAAGTGAGAGAATTAGTGAAGGAAGGAGAAAGCCCATATGGAATCAGAGTTGAAGGAGAGAATGAGAATGAAATGGTGTTGGAATGGAAAGGGATTCCACTTGTGAGAGTTTCTGTTTGGATGTAGGTAGATAAATCACAAATATACATGCCTTAGATAGAATTATAAATCTGCACAAAATTAATTATTTTTACATAATGAAAAATATCTTCTGTACAAAGATTTCTAATACAAATCAATTGTTTACAACTATCTCACTACTTCCATCCATTTATATATTTACTAATGGCATTTCCCAGTGTATATCAGTTAACACAGTTAAATATACATTTCTAGATTGTGAAAGAGTGATATGATTTTAAAGAAAAAGGTACAAAAATTAGAGGAATGAAAAGGGAAGACAAAAATCATATCTTAAAACAGGGTATTGATCAATGATAAGCCAAAAGGCCTAAGTATATCAGATACAGCAAGAATATCGAAAATATTTATCAAAAGAAAGAGAAAAAAAAACATATTTCAAAACAGAATCTGATTAGCTAATTCCAAAATTCTGAGAATGCAAAACACATTAAACTTGATAAAAATATATCATGTCACAACCATCACCTATCACATCCATAATAAAATAGTAAGATTATAACAAAAAAAGAGTTTGTAAGAACCCAAACACTACTCACAATGTCAACATTATATCAACATTCCCTAAATCAGGCAAAGATCACTAATGAAGATTGCAAAAGACAATTGAAATTATTGGGGACCCACAGACAACAAACAGCCACACTATCATTCAACCAACAAGTTAATACTCAATTACCACAATCACTTAATACCAAAAAGATAAGATATATATATATTTATCTAGAAATACGTGTGGCTTTTTTATTGGATGAAAGCAATCCCATGACCTCTAGCATCTTTATGAGTTTGATTAGACATGTAATTTAAATAAAACCGTTGGATCATTTTTCAGAGATCAATTTGCAAAAATAGAGCAATCTATAGCTTCTAATGGAGCATATCAAGTCATAATAAAAGCATTTATTTGGGATTTTGGAATTGATTCTTCCGAGAAAAAGGTTCTAAAATGGTGAATTGTCTACCACATCTTTTAACAATAACGAAATAGAGAGAATGATGAGGAACAAAATCAATATCATCCACTACCTTTGATGACAAGGATGAGTATAAAAGCTATTTTAGATTGAAAATTTACCAAAATGGCAAAATGAAAAGTTTGCAATTGATATGGATATACTAAAGTTGAATTTTTTTGAAGTGAGTAGTATTCGGACAAAATGATTGATGGATATATTAACAATTTAATATTAAGATTGATGGGTACAGCTGACCAACCTTAAGAAAACTCCAAGGCATAAAGAAAGACAAATTGAGGCCTCCAAGTAGTTAAATTTATTCAAATTCTTATTCATATATGATATATCCACTTTAACTTTTCTTTTAACTTCTATTAACAAATATGATATATAAACATATCAAGAAACATCCCAACACTCATCAAAACTCAAGCCACAAAGTTCTATCCACTTACCTTCAATATCATCATCAAGAAAATAAAAAAGAAGATGGAGTCTGAGCTTTTACTTCAGACCTCTTGGCCAACTCAATCTTATTTTCATTCAAATCTTGATCATTATGATCCAAACATGGATTTTTATGAGAGTTATTACCATGAATTTTCTTCTTCAATCAATAGCTCCCCAGAAAACTCATTGATTTCATCAGAGCCATATGTCAAATCTCCATTGTTGGGTTATGATCAGATACAAAACCCTTCAATGGTTGACAACATCAACACACTTGATGATGTGTGCCAATGGTTATGTGATGAGAATCAAGAAATAGAAGAGATTCAATCAGAAAAGTCTACTGAAACTGAAAGTGTTCATGTATGGAGTCCAGACCTTTCCATGACATCAGATGATGTCATGGAAACAAGACTGGAGGATCTACTGAAGGCCTATGCAGATGCTATGACAATGGGACAAACAGAGCTTGTGAAAGTGATTGTCAGATGTATAAGTGAAAAAATAAGCCCCATAGGTCCAATCCTTGAACGCATAGCCTACAATTTGTTTAAAAGTGCAGAAAATCAAGGAGATGAGTACCTTAAAGAAGAACTCATGGGAAACTTCAAGTCAGCATTCAGAGCCTTCTATGATATCTTTCCTTATGGGAGGTTTGCCCATTTCACAGCAAATTCAGTCATCCTCAAAGCTGTTCAATCCAATGTAGAATCTGTTCACATAGTTGACTTTGACTTGGGTGAAGGAACTCAATGGCCTCCAGTGATAGAAGCTGTAGCACAACAAAGAAAATCATTGACTTTGACCATTACAAGTGTCAAACTAGAAGAACATGACTTCAATTTTAAAGACACAAAGAGGCAGCTATCTAACTATGCAAGAGATGTTGGTGTAAAGTTGAAGGTAGAAGAAGTCGAATTGGGACAATTGGTAAAAGTAATGGAGGGAAAATTAGACACAGAATTTTTGGCCTTCAACTGTATGATTGGCCTTCCACATATGGTAAGCACAAGGGAAAGAACTCAAGCTATGGGATTCCTAAAATTAGCCAAAGGGATATTAACAAACAGCAAAGGGATCATAACATTTGGTGATGGCGAAAATGGTGGCAAAATGGTAAATTCATCAAACTATACTTCATTCTTTGATGGGAATTTGTCACACTACAAAGCTTTATATGAATCAATGGAATGGGGGATTCCAAGTTACCTCACTGAAGCAAGGATAGCTTTGGAGACTCTTTTTATTGCACCTTCTATATCATCTTTGTCTTGGTTCCAAAAGTGGGAAGAAGGACAAGAAGAAGTTTTTTCTTTGAAGGGTATTGGGTTAAAAGGACAGTTGATGAACATAGAAAGCTGGAATGAAGCCAGGGAATTGGTGAATGAAAGAGAAAGTCCTTATGGAATCGGAATTGGAGGAGACAATGGGAATGAAATGGTGTTGGAGTGGAGAGGAACTCCATTAGTGAAAGTTTCTGCTTGGGTGTAAGTGAAAGATACAGAATCTTGATAGTTAGGCATATATAGATGTGTACAAAAATTAGGTATTTGAAACTTGAAAGTAATATGTGCATTTAATATAGATGATGATGATGATGATGATGATGATATCCTAAACTTGAGATCAGAAACCGCATCTTCTTTACTGATAAACATATTTGGTGTGCAAAATTCAAACGTTATAATCACTTTGATAAAACAAGTCCAAACACCAACTCAGTTTAGATTCTAACAAGACAAGGACATGGCCAATTCATGAAGGAAAAAGCTCAATAACACTGGGCGGAGAAAATGGATAATTGGATATTACCATATACAAACAAAAAGTATGCAAACATAATACACACAAATTAGGGCAAAACTTATACATATACTACCATATACAAACATCAAGTAGGATCAACTGCTTGGAATTATGCACGATAAAGATAATTAATTGATAGACATGAAGAAACGGAAATGAACAAGTAGCATAGTAGATTTCTGTAGTTACAACAATCTCCCATTTCGAATAAAGAATCTAATCAAATGAAAAACAATACACACGAAATACCACTGAGTTAAATTGCTTGAATCCACGTCGAAATTGGAGGATCAGTAAAATTATACAGTGGGAGTGGTAGAAAAAGAAAATAATCAAATCCCTAGACCTATATTGATGTGAAAAATTAAAAACGTCGACAGCAGGATTCGAACCTGCGCAGGCAAAGCCCAACAGATTTCGAGTCTGTCTCCTTAACCACTCGGACATATCGACTCTACGATGAAGGTTAACGTGTATAAAAAATATAAAAACAACTTTCATTTTGTAACTTTTAAGTGGAATAAAAGTCATTAAATAAACACTTTTATGCTATTATTTCCCAAAATATTTGTATTTTTCGGTGCTAAGTTAGTACATTGTTGCCAACCAAACACACTAGGATCATGTAGACATATTTGTAATGCAACAAAAAAATTCATAAACTATTATCAATTGTTCAAACTTAAGAATAAATCATTGCAATAAAATAAAGTTATTTTAATTTAGAAAATTATGAAGCAACTCAGGTTGTTTATTTTATTGGTTTCATAGTTACAAACGATGACAATATTATTATTGATTATGTGACCTTTATTAGCTAAATCAAGTTTATACATTGACCCAACATTTCACTTTCTTTCGGTTAAGTTTCACACGAATAACTCATTCCCATTTAATCATGTATGTCATTTTAATATCATGTGGTATATTGATGACTTGTTGTGTGAGAGATCATGACCAATATTATGTGGTTTGTTGTTCTTTATCGATAGAGTACATGACAACCATATATTATTTTGATTTATCAATAAAAACTAGTGAGCTAGCTATCTATATGTGTTTAGGATGTCTTTCATTAGGTGGTTTTCAAAAAGTTCCAACTTCAAGACAACTTTATGAAATGTTATTGGTGGTCCTCTTAATACCTCTGAAATGCCTTTCCTTATAAACTTAGTGTATTGATTTTGGCCAAGTTCGAATTATGCAATCAAACATCTTGAAATAGATAGTGTCGATTCCTTCAAAAAAAAATTATTAAGAACCATCAAAACAACATATTGACCCAGCATCACAAATTGGTTCAAAAGTAGTAAACCAATATTTATAAAAACACATGTGATAGGTGTAAGCCGAATCAATAACCCAATTATCATCGACACCTCCAATAATGATAGTAAAAACCTCTCTATCAAAATCATTATCACGAGCAAAAGTTTGCAATTGCATACTTTATTTATTCTATAACTTATAAAATGAAGACATCTCATGACCATCTTTCTTGCAATATCAATAAGACTTATCTTTATCTCATGATTGGATTGACTACTTTTTCCCAGAGAATCACGTTCATTATAACAACCCCAAATATATAACCCTTCACCGTGCAAATTGTTTTCCTTGTTTGTAGTTATACCATCTCTCTCATTTTTTTTCTTAATATTAAGCTTCATAAACTCCATGTAAGGTAAGAGTATCATGACTATAAATAATCGTCTCCCTTAGGTTTGAATAAGATTTCAAAATAGATTACAATAGAGTAAAAGGAAGGTCTTTTACTCTTGTTCAGAATGCTTAATTTCCAAAGTTAACAAACTGGACACAATCTCTTTGAAATTAATGATATGGTTAAGTAGATTACCACCTTCTAAAAGTTTATGTAAGAATTTTTTTCCTTTAAATGCATCTTAGTTGTGATATCTTTTATCAAGCATATTGATTCAATATTTGACCTGTAGTTCTTTCATTGAGCACCTTTGGGAAAATATTGTTGTGAAGATGTAACTAGATTTGAATCAGTGCTTTTTGATCCTTCCTTTTTTCGTCGAGAGTTCTAGTAGCTTTAACTTTTCATCCAACAAATCTAAAACACCATTATAGTATGAGCCACAAGGCCTCTCATCTTCATTTGTTAAAGGAAAAATCTAGTGACATGATCCAAAAACAGAATGTCATACTTACTCTAGCTATGAAACAATCTAAACTGTGTAGGAAAAACGATTAAATAGGTTTTTTAAATAGCTTAAAAATCGTTATTTGTAACGCTCATAGATTCGGGCTAGACACTTAAGATATAATAAGTAATAATTGTTCGTCATGCGAGCGATAAATAGATGATTTTGATAGAATATTATTTTGGATAAATATTTTTAACTAAAGTTATAGTATATGTGACAAAGATTTTGTACATATAAAGAACTTTGAAATCCGACTTCGTATGAAAAAGTTATGTTTCTTCGAAGTTTCACGATTAAACTGACACAATTATACGCATTGTAAAAAGTGAATCAGAGTTAAGTTGCTTATTAGCATAAGTAATCTAAATGAAAGTCGTAGTAATCGTAAAAGCGAGGGCATACATATAGAGAACGTCTAAATCTGACTTCATATGAGGAAGTTATGATTTTTCGAAGTTTCAGTGCGGCAGTACGAATACATAAATCGAAATTCAAATCGGTTAATTGTTAGCCGAACAATTTAAACGAGAGTTGAATATCTCGTGATTAGAAGTTTGTCGATATAAAGACAGTCGAGAACGGAGTTCGTATGAAGTAGTTATGAATTTCGTAAAAACTTTAACAATCTAAACCTGTCTAAATATGAATTTTAGTTAGAGCAAGAATTAGTTGTTGAGACCTTAATGAAAGTTGTAGAGCTCTTCGAGAGGATTCCGGGATATAAATAACGTCAAAAACGGAACTCGTATATGAAAGTTATGGTCGTTCAAAGATTTGCGAGAATTTACTTGGACCGATGGCGTGGCAACACCAAGTGGCGCCACGTTGTATGGCCAGGTAGTCTAGGGATGAGCATAGGTGGGTACCCGCCTCATTTGGCGAGAACCGGAACCGGAACCGGCGGTTCCTAGAAAGTTAGAACCGGAACCGCTCTAGGCAGTTCTTAAATGTTTGGAACCAGTCCCAAAACCGGCGGTTCTGGTTCCGGGAGCGGGTAACCCAGTTACATTAATTTTTTTTAACTTTTGTCGATAAAACCGCAATTTAGTTCGATTCAAATCGAATCAATTCAGACCAAAGACGGACAAATCGGACCAATATATTCTAAACCGATCTAAGTAACACACACATATTTATATGAAATACCAATATAAATATAAAATATATATATATATATATATATATATATATATATATATGGTTAGGTTAATTTGTTTCTTATATTTATTGTGTGCTAGAATGCACCAATAGGAATTTAGTAATTAAATAATTATTTAATTAAATAAATATAGATATTAAATAATTTCCATAATTATATGTATATTAAATGATATCCATAATTATAATTCTCTTTTTATGGAAACTAATTAAATCCGTCATTAATGTCAGCAATAACATTCTTTCAGAATGAATTCACATCTAGGTTTTTATGTATGAGTTCGTATTTTGTTTTAGTACTCACTCACTTAAAATACAATAAAGTTGCATGAAATATGAAAAACGAGAGTGTATTATACTAGAATACACTCTCATTCTGCTGGAATACACTCTCATTCTTCTAGATATGAATTCATTTTGAAAGAATATTATTGTTGACATTAATGACGAATTTAATTAGTTTCCATAAAAATGAGTTATAAGTATGGATAGCATTTAATATACATATAATTAATACTAAATTCCTATTGGTGCATTCTAGCACACAATAGATGTGAGAAACCTTTGAACCTACCTCTCTCTCTCTCTCTATATATATATATATATATATATATATATATATATATCAATCGGTTCTGGCGGGTACCCAGCGGGTAGCGATTCCGAAAAAATGAGAACCGGAACCGCTTAAGGCGGTTCCATAACTTTAGGAATCGGAACGGGAACCACTTAAGGCGGTTCTAGTTCCAAAACCGGCAGTTCCGAGGCGGTTCCGGTTCCAAAAGCGGGTACCCGGTTCCGATGCTCATCCCTAAGGTAGCTGCCCTCTCGAAGAGACACGGTGATGTGACGCCACAAGATTGTGACATGTGGCACCACGAAATGGTGACACGTGGCAAAGTTCTAGAAGAAAGGATGCGGTCGAACGGGAGTTGGACACGTGGCAAGCAGCTGGTGGAGACATGTCAGCTTTGAGGCATGGCGCACCCCATTTGTGGCCCTATGTATATCAGTTGAAAACAACCCTTATCCTCACACCTTTCAAGCCAATTCTCGCTGGATCCCTTCCCACTCTTAAGATTCGATTTTTTTTTAGCTTTTAAGATAATTTAATAGAAACTCTGAAGCTCCAGGTGCCCAACAATTAGAGGTCGTGACTTTAATAGTACTACTGGACTAACAATGTAGTCACATAGTAGGGTATTGATAATGAACATAGACTATTCTAGACAATTCGGGTCAAACATGGATATACTTGCAACCTGTAGATATTTATAAGCCATACATGGGTAGGTTTACAACCTATAGGTGTTAGTCGATCATACATGGGCAAGTTTACAACCTGTAGATGTT